TGACCTCTGACCTCTGACCTCACCCACGGGCTCCAGGAGCACAGCCCTGTGACAGCAGAGCCACCTCCCTCCTAGATCCTTCTGACTCCACACTCTTGAGCTCTGTGGTGACAGCTGAATACTGTCATTGTCCCTGAGCCTGAAGCTGAGGCTCAGGGGACAAGAAGGCATTCAGGGAACTATATACGCTTTATGTTCGCTGTGATGTGAAGGTGGGTCGGGAAAGACCACCCCATTGCTACAACAGGAACCCAAGACTGCCGCCCTCGGCCCAGCATGGGCTCGAGTTCCCCGTTCTTAAAATCGAGCTCAGCAGTAAGTTTCAGGAGGTGCAAAACAGGATACCAGGACCTCCTATTACACAGCCAGGTGTGCAGAGAGTTCATGCAGAAGGCAGCCAGGAGGGGAGACAAAGTAGGAGACTTCCTAAATGCCAGGCTTGGGAGACAGAGGGAATAGTGGCATATCTACCCATAATGCTGTGCAGCCATTAACGAGCTCCTGCTTACAGCTGGTCACACTGAAAAGCGTTGGTGTAATACACAACATGTGAACAAAGAGGCAGGACCCACAGGTGGAGGAGCCCTTGAGCAAAATGCTTGGGATCCACAAGTGTTCGGAACTTCAGACGCTGGAATATTTTATACATCCATAATGAAATACCAAGTTCAATATGGAGTCATTTACCTGTCGCATGGACACTCCAGGTCCTACGGGTAACTTCACTCAGTGTGGTCCGTGTGCCTTTGGTTGGACGGAGACCTAGCCTATCACATGACACCAGGTGTGGCGTTTTCTACTGGTGATGCCACGTTAGCACTCAGAAAGTTGTGGATTTTAAAGTACTTTGATACTCATATTTTGGGATTATGGAGGACCAAACTGTATTTGATATACTTGTGCAGAAGAAAGATAGGAAAAACATCAGCATGTCACTTGTGATTAGCGCTGAATTTGGGGATTATGGGAGGTTTTATTTTTAATGTGTATTCTCTTTACCTTTACTTATAAAGCTTGGGAAAAAACAAAAACCAGAAGGTGGGTCCAGACAGCTGTATCCTCACAGTGCTTTCCCTCTGTCCACACAGGACCGGCAGCCCTGAACCTGGCCACGGAGGCCAAGGCTGCTCTGTCCTGGGACCAGCACCCGCTCCCCCAGCCGCCTGCGTGGACTGTGCCGCGCTGCTGTGGGGCGCAGGAGAAGCACACCCACTCCTTCCTAAGTGATGAGTAGTTAGGCGAGGCTCGGAAGGCCAGCTTCCAGAGTGTGGCGGGAGAAGGCTTATTTTTACCAAGTGTAGAAGCTTCCCAAAATGGCAAAGAGGGGAGGAGAGGGGAGAGGGCAGGGCAGGGCAGGGCAGAGTTCCCCCAAGCTAGGAAGATACACAGTCTGTCAATACTAGCTCAGAACAGGGGCCCACAGGAACCAGAATTATCAGAGCAGTCAAGAATAATCCCAGGGCTGGGGATGTGGCTCGGTGGTAGAGCTCTTGCCTAGCAGGCACCAGGCCCTGGGATTGATCTCTAGCACCACAAAAAGGAAGGAAGGAAGAATGGCTGGGCAGACAAACGAAGACCACAGCCCTCAGAGGCTGCGACAGGAAGACCACTGTGAGTTCAAGGCCAGCCTGAGCTCCACAGCAAGACCCTGTCTCAGAAAAACAACAAAGAAAGAAAGAGTAACCAGAGACCGTGGGACTTCATCCAGTGTACCCCGAGCTCCCCCAACTCTGCAGCACTCCGTAAGTTTACGAGGCACTCTGCAGCCATCATCCCTCGGAAAGGGAAGGGGCATGGTGGGTGACAAGTCCAGCCCCCAGGCGTGGGCTGCCTGGCTTTACCAGCCACGTGACCTTGGGAGTGTGAGCCAGCTCACATTGCATCTGCAAAATGGGCACAGCCATGGTAACTGCTCTGTCAACACAGATCTGCTGCTGGAGCCTGGCCCAGAGCGGGTTCTCACTCCCGCCAGTGCGGCTGCCCTGGCCTCGCCCACCGGGTCCTCACTGAGGAGCTGTCGGAATCAGACCGCGTCACGCTAAGCACGGGCAGCGGGGGGAGGGGGGGGGGGCTGGTGCCACATGCTCTTCTCCATGGAAGTTGGCAGGAGCTTCCTGTCCCCGGATGTCCACTGAGGCCCACCCTCCACTGAGCTCACCGGTGCCCTGGGACTCTGGAAACTGATAGCCTTTCAAACAGTGGGTTAGGAAAAGCCACGTCCAAAACTACCTGCAAACTACTGAGATTTAATGGTGCATGTGTGTACACACGCACGCACAGTACCTGGGATGGATTCAGGGCTTCACACGTGCCAGGCAAGTATTCTCCCCCCGAAATACACACCTTGCCATTCTATTCCTGTTTTGAGACAGGGTCTCATTAAGTTGGCCAGGCTGGCTTCAAACTTGCAATCTTCCTGCCTCAGCCTCCAGAGTCCCTGGGATGACAGGCACCTGCCACTGTGCCCAGAATGCTTTAAGCATGGAATTACAGGCTTGCATCACCTGTATATAAACACACACACACACACATACGTGCACACGCCCGCACATCCAAACACATAAGTCCTACAGAATTATGAAAACTGTAATGACTTCCTAAAGGATGTTACTTCATTCGACCCACCCTCCTCCTTATTTAATGTAAGTACCATAGAATAAGTCTGTACTACACCTGCTTTTCATGTACACATAATAATCTGATGGTACATACTGTATATACAGACCTCTGGGAGCTGAGGCAGGCAAAGCAAAAGCTCAGGTCCACGTGGGACAAGTGATCGGGATCCTGTCTCAAGATAGAAAAACAAGTTTTTTTTAAGAGGCTGGGCCTGGAGCTCAGAACCGCTGAAAAGAACACTGGCACACACCCTAGACATAAGGGGAGCTGAGGGGCGGGGACCCGCCTGCCCAGCGTGGAGGGGCGCTTCTGCTCAGTCGGATGCAGCAGGTGGTGGAGGGCCCGCGCCCCAGGCTGTATTTGATAGCTGAATAAAGACACTTCCAGGCTTCCAAAGCAGAGTGTACACAGGAAACAAATTTAGGAAATCCTGCTCTCTGTTGCAGGAAATAAAGCCTACACCGCCTGGTGGAAATTATACCAGCTACTCCACGTGGGAGGAATAGTGGTTTCTACGTGAGCTGCATAAACTGACCTCGCCACAACTGGAGACAGCTTCTTGATACTGAATATCAAAGTCATGCCAGACAGGCCACGCCGAGCGGGATCCTTCAGGGAGTGGGAAACAGCGGCCCCCGAGAGCCCCAGCTTCAGCCCGAGTCAGTCTTCTGCACCGTGTGACGCTGTCTTACAGCGCACTGGTATTCTGCAGTATGAATCTGCTGTCACTCTTCAGAAGGTGATTTGGTAATAACACCAGCAGTGGTTACACTGAGTGGGCTAGCGTTTACTTTTTTTTGATCTACAGCTTCACGTCTTTTACTATGGATATGCAATAACTGTGTAATAAATAACAGTTATAAAATATGCACACACACACAAACCAATTAGCAACAGTGGCCTCTATGATCACACTGAAGCCAAAAGGAAAATACCTCGTTTGGTTTTTTTCAATCATGACTTAGACTGTAGAAAAAAAGGGGAATCTGTAACCAACCACAACTAATGGACATGAGAGATAAAGCCCTATTCTCGTTGAGAAAAGGCAGCACAGAACATTCTGTGAAAGATTTACCCTCCTGGAAAAACCTCTGCACAGCCTTAAAGCAAACATTCCAAGACTGGAGGGAAGAGAGAATCAGGGACAAACAGGACAGAGATGGGGTTCGGGAGCTACTGATCAGGAGCGGAACAGGACTGGCCAGCTCGCCGACACCTGAAACTGGCTGTGGCTCAAACCCCGCCCTGGCCCACAGCTACCAAGGTGAGGGGCCTCCCTCTCATCTGAAATGCCTCGGTACCCAGCTCCCACTCCCAAAGGAAAACCAAGCTGCACATGGCAAACCGGATGGACCACAGGAAGAGGAAATGACCACTGCGTTATGGGACAGAGCCGCAGCCTCGCAGCCCCTGCCCGGCTCTCCCTGCACACAGCTCCCAGCTCAGCAGCTGGAGCTGGGCGATGCCCTTCACGTCTACAAAGCCTGGCTCAAGCATCGATGGTCACAGATGAACTGGGCCTCATGGCTTGATTCACCACAAGCACACCATGTAGGCCACAAGGAGGAGCCACCAGGGAGAAATTTTGCTGCCCCACGAAGTGAGGAAGAAGCAAGAGGCCAGGGTAGGAGGTGTCACAGTGTCCCTCCATCTGTGAGCGCTGGAAGAGGCTCTCGAGGCACTGCTCAGCCATGTCCACTGCAGGATCCAGGACACCTGCAATCAGTCAGCGCAGCCCTTCCCACGGAGAAGCCCCTCTTCCCAAAGCCAGAGGACACCAAAAACACCAGAATCCCAGTAACGCTGGCAGAGAGTACAAATTTTTTTTTTTTTAATTCTGGAAGCACTCTGGGAGTCTGTGACACAGCCTTAGAAACACTCCGTCCAATCGGACCTGGGATTCACTGCTGCCACTGAGGGCCTGGAGACGGCCTACGTAGAACCCCAGCCCCAGGGGCAAAAAGCAGGATGCAGCAGGGATCATAAGCACAGAGCCTCTATATTAAAGTCCCACTTAGCCATATGTCATAAAAGCTATTAGACGGCTTTGGGTCAGAATACTTTCGTAGCTTCGGGCCCTGAGGACAAACTCCAGGGTTCAAACCCTGGACCGGGAGCTCAATGGCAAGGCACAGCCAACGCCCTGGGTCACAGCCCAGCACCACACAAAAACCAGAACAGGACCCGGATTTCCCCCGCTCTTCCACACTGAGGAAGACCTGACTCTACAATCAGAACCGAGGTTTGCTGGGGAGGAGAGGGAAAACTGGACGGGAAAGCCCCAAAACGACAAGTGGAACACAGCCTCGCGTCTGAAGCACCCCGAAGCCAGGGGACAACGAACAGGACCCTGCTTTTATGCACCTGTCCCCCAGAATCACCTCGTCTGGGCTGGATGCCTGGTACACGCGACAGGAGTCCTCGTACTGCTTCTCGGCCTCGGCCTGGTCGGTCACGCCGTTGGACTCGTACACGGGGGTCACGTTGTGGCACAGCGCGATGGCCTTCACGGCTTCGTGCACGCGGCTGCTCATGGTCCGGCGGACCTTGGTGGTGACCGTGGGCCCCTTCTGAGCTGGTGGCTCCTGGGCCTGCTGCAGAGAGGAGACGTGAATCAGGACAGTGTGCAGAGAAAGCAGGGCCAGGGAGGAGCTGCAAACAGCCACGGAGAGCTCCTGTCCCCTCTACCGCTTCCCGCCACGGACTCCTGGTGTCCACAGTGAATACAGGACCAGGCAGGACATGTAATTTTTTGCGTCCCAATGTGAAAGAACACAGTTGGATGGATGCACGGATGAGGGTGGTTCTGCCTGTGGACAGAAATCATGGTGTGGCCCCTGCTCCACGCTGGGACCCTGGAGTTTCGGTGCAGGGCTTCTCATCTGGCGCTACGGCCCCCCGGGGTGGGTCACTCACTGCACAGGGCATCATCCTGCGCTGTGCAGAACGTTTAGCAAAATCCCCTGCTTCAGGTCAGAGGCCAAGTGAGCTGCAGACACTGCCAAATGTCCCCTGGGACCAAAATCTGCCTCGGTTTGTAACTGCATTTTGTATGCACCTTCTTCTTGACAATAACGGGCAATGGCTTCAGCTGATATTGTTAGAGAAACAGCACCATACAGCAGCCCAGGCAGGTCTGCTGAGGCGATTGTGGCTGAGGTCCAAAATGTACCCCCAAAAAACCTCACTGTGCTGAAGGTTTGGTCTCGGAGGATGCGATCTGAGGAACTGAATGGATCACAATGGCTCTGACCTCAGCTCAAGTGGATGAATCCACTGGTGAGTTTCCAGCACACTGGCTCCTGGGAAGTGGGGCTTAACAGTCGAGGTAAGCAAAGGGGCAGGGGGCGTGGCTCTGAAGGGCCTCCCCTGTCCCCACCCCTCCCTCTCACTGCTTCCTGGCTGCCATGAGGAGGGAGCCGCTCCCCCATCCCTGCCACCATGATGTTCCTGCCTCACCACAGGCCCAGAACAGCGGAGCCAGCTGACCACGGGCTGGGACATCTGAGGCCACGAGCCAAAAGATGCCTGGCCTCCTTTAAGGTGTGTCAGTCAGGCATTCCGGTGCCTGCAGCATAGAGCTGACCAGCAAAGAGGCACAGCAGTACTAACTGGAGACCCCTTGGCAGATGGGACTTGCTACAAGGTGGGATCCGGCTTTCCACCCAGCACAGACCTTCAAGGGTGATTAGAACTATTGACTTTTCCCTCCCACACGGACTTCGGACCTTAGCCCCTGCTTGACGGCAGCCCCAAGCTTACACAGCCCCCCCAATCCTCTCCCCTACCTCTCAGCATGCAGCTGGGGCTCAGAAGGGCCAGGCAGGGGGCCACCCCTTAGGGAAATGGTTTCAGCAATGTGGTAGCAGAAGCCCTGAAGGCTAGGAACTCAGTCTTATTCTTGGAAGGGCTGTAAACTGCTTGCCTTCTGAGGAGTGCTTTTCTGCAAATGGGAAGTGTGGGCTCCAGAGTCCTAAGTCCCGGGAAGGCTGTGTAACACCAAGTGTGGAGGGGGTGGGGATCGGTGGCTGGCAGCCCCTTGCAATCCGTGTCCCGCATCTGTGCAACCTCAACCTGCCTTCGAGGAAGGGCTCCACTGCCTCGGGATGTAACACCAGATGAAGGAGTGGGGTGTGTGCAGGGGCGTAATGCAGGCTTTGCGTGTGCAAGGTCTTGGGTTGAATCCCTGGCACCAAAACAATTTTTTTTTTTAAAGAACACTCAAGCAAAAAAGAATCCTACTTGTTAATAAGCAGTTGTATTCAAAGCTAGAGTGACTTGAAAAAAAAAATAAGCAGTTGTGAACACTGAGTCTGTGGCCCCAAATCCAGAAGCCCCCTCCCTGTCACGCACCCCACCTGCTCACCCTGCCCAGCCCATCAGCTCCCACAATATCAGCCTCCTCCTCATTCATTCTGTTCTAGGCACACTGGCCTTTCTGCTCTCCGAACACTGCTAAGTTCTTCCCGCCCCAGGGTCTTTGCACTTACGATGGTTGGAACCCCACTCCCCACACCTCTACAGAACTGGTTTGCTCAGCCTCATCATTCAGTTCTCAATCCTGATTTAGCTCCTCTAGGACTTCCCAGGCCACACTGCCTGCCTCCTCTGCCCAGTGAAGTTATACTCATGCAATGCCCTGTGTGTTAATGTCCTCCACGCTCGACACTGGCTTGGTGACCTGATGCTTCTCTCCATCAGGCTGTGGGAACAGAGAGCTTGTCTGTGCAAGCTACTCAGCATTCCTAGCCCCCCCGAGCAGCGTCTGGCATGGCAACTGCTGGAAGAATCAACAAATTAATAACTCAGTACTCCCGAGGTAGTGAGGCATTCTCAATGGACAGGAATTTCTGCTTCTATTTCCAAGAAGAAATAAATATTAAAATTGACCACGCTCAGTTCCGGACTTTGAATCACAGTTATGGACAAAGGCTCGCCTGCAAGAGTTTGCAGAAACACGGTGGGAGTCACTGGAGCCCACGTTCCATTTAAAACACGTTTCACCAACGGAAGCCAAGCGACGGGATCGCTTTGGAAGAATCGTGTTTCATACCCTTGACACACAGCTGCCCCAAATAGAGACCAGATGGGTGGCAAGAAAGGAGAAAATGACTTTCATTTAATTTTTTAATACTATTTTTAGGAGTGGCATTAGACTCCTCAGGTAATTAGACAATTACTAAATTATTCTGGTCACCGTGGGGACACACAGCGCGCTGGCTTCCTGCACTGTTAACCCCTGGTGTCAAGAGCACACGAGTTTCACTTCCAGGCCAAAGGGCACTGCATGGTAACGGTAATTAGAGTCATGAATCAGAACTCCGGTTTAAATGAATCATTATTTGCCAAGTGCTTTTAATTATAAATAAGTTAACTCTAAAAATTATAAAGAGGACTAAAGATTTACAGAAACGCTTCCTCTACTGGAGACGCTAAATCAAGACCTTTTTTATTGTTCGGTAATTTATGTTCTACGTAAATGTGCGTTATGAAGCCACTGACACGCGCCTTCATTTTTCCCCACATTCCTCAGCGCCTGAACCAAATCATTCTTTAAGACGGGCCATGGCAGGACCTCTGACCGAGTAATTGCTCCAGTGGGCAAGCCTGGGGACCAGTGGGGCCGGGTGAGCAGCTCTGCGGAGGGCATCCCTGGCAAACCTCGGGGTTTTATAAACCAATCTGACTTCGTCAAACGTGTCCACTGGTATTTCCAGCAAGGAAAGACACAGTCCTGAGGCTCTGTGCTCCCTCCCGGTCAAACAACTCTGGAGCGAGCCAATACCCAGATGCACCAACAGTCTGATTTTTGCAAAGACTTCACCACTTGACAGTGAATCTGAAGGCAAGGATGAAACAGCCTCATCCAACGTCACCAGGAGCATGTCGCCAAGTTCATTTGTTTCTCCTTTAAATGAATGTTTGCTGCCCTGACCTCCTGCTAAGATATTTCAGGGAAGGAGGGAGTAACTGCCTGGGTGCTGAGGTCACGTGCTTGCTTGCTTTCTCTTTTCTCTGTAGTACTAGAGATGAACTCGGGGCTTTCACATCCAGCTGCATCCTGAGGCTGGACTCCAAGGTGTGATCCTCCTGCCTCAGCCTCCTGAGTGCTGGGACTGCAGGCGAGCACCACCATGCTCAGGTCCTGAGCGCCTCCCTTCAATTTTCAAATGAAAGTGCCTTCACACATCCAGTGGGATCCAAGCTTCTTTCAAGGCTCTGATGCTGACCAGGGGCTCGCTGGGAAGCCGCGCAGTAACGGCCCCATTCTCCCTGCTGCCCCCACAGCCCATATGGAAGAGTTTCCCATCATACAGTGTTTATCTCTAACCTCCTCCATGGACCCTTTAACCTACACACATTTCTTCTTACTTAAAAAATACCAGGGGAAAACAAAAACAGATGTGGTATCCACAGAGGCAGGTTATGGCTCTTGGTGCCCTGGGGAAACTGACCGGTCCTCCAGGGAGCGAGGGAGTGAAAGGGTTACCATCTGTGGTCAGAGGCAACGTCAGACCCAGGGCGCTCGGGCCAGGGAGGGGACAGAGCCCTCCGCGCACAGGTGGGCACCCTGCAGCACACGAGGCTGCCGGCTCAGTGGCAGACTATTGCTGCTGACAAACAGGATGGTGACGCCGCACAAGGAAAAACAGTCTTGCCGTCCCTGTAATGACTCATGGCATTTCCCGACGAGACCCCCAGGCCTTGTTACAGGAAAGATTAATACAAAAATGAAACGCGGAGTCACCACGAATCAATTTTCTTCCTCAAGGTAGTTAAAATGTCATCCCGTGTGGACACTCGTGATATTGGTGGTTCTGAAAGGGTTGCAATCGGCAGAAATGTGTATCGAAGACAAGGAGCTCCTGCTACGGCAGCCCTACCCTGCCCCCGAAAAGCTCCAGGCTGGTGATTCATTAACTTCAAAGGGCCACCAACCAGAGCCGCCCAGAGACAGCGCTTCAGTGGAGTCGGAGCTGGGCTGAGTAAGTGGCTGAGCCACGGTGTTTACCATCTAACAGCAGATGCTGGGGAGCCTGAGGTCAGCACACTGGAGTTCACCATGCACCACAAGGGCTCTCTCGGTGCGCTCTGGGGGTATTTTTGGTTTAATGACTTTGAAGAGCAGGAGGGGCGAGAGGCTCAGGCTTGCAAGTGGCAGAGGGCTGAGGAGTGGACTTTGCAGCCCACAAGGCACAGCAGGGCCCCTTCAGGCACAGAGAGCTCCAGCCCCAGGAAGTCAACCCTAGAAGCCTGCACCAACCCACTGGCATCAGGGCAGGTGAGGCCCCAGGGTGCCAGATGGAGTGGGATTCCCCTGACTTAAAACTTCCCCATGCTGCTCCTCATGGATTTGTGGGTTTGTCAACATGAGAGTTCTTTGAAAGCCTGCATTAAAATATGTTACAACTTGATGACTGATTTGGCACCCTGTTAAATCTGCTCTGCAGGACAATTCCTTAATGCTTTGCCCTAACCAGGGCCTGTGATAAAACCATTAAAAAACAAGCAGAATCACTGAACGCACACACTCTACACAAACACTTTACATACAATACTGCTGTTCAATTCTAGTTCAAAAGAATTACAAGAA